CATTCTTTTTGTTTCAAGAAAACCTTCAATCAGAAGTAACAGTATAAATCATGATTCAACCATCAGGCATTTGCAAAGAGTACAACATCATCAAGCTCATTGTCTGGTCTTTTAAGAGCTTCATTAACAGGCGGTGATTAATAACATTTGCAATTTCAACAACTGTATCCAAAACACTTTTGCTAGAGGATGCCTCAGAAAACTTTGTACAAATGTTTTCAAAACACATCATGCAATAGAAGGAATAAGGGAGACACAAACTTCTTGTTATAAAATTCTAATAAATCCGGATTTTATTTAACCTAACATAACTGAGGCATCATTTATCATAATAAAAGTTAAGTATTTCATATGTAGCTGAAATTATTCTTTGTCATATGTAGACAATTCCAAAATACTTAATGCAAGTATTCATTTTTTTGGACTAATTGACAATATTGCTTCATAAATTTAGAATGCTTTGAAACTATTTGCTCAATGCTACTTCATAAATAGTCCATCTTTACAACCACTGACTTGAAATGCCTTTCATGTCATATACTAAAATGAGAGATATGTGAATTCATTTTTATAATCTTTATTCTCTACCATTGGCTATTTGTGCTATAACCCCACTGAGTTTTAATTGTAGAGACCCTATGTTTTACTATCTGGTAGAGTACTCTCCTCAGCTTGCTCTTCTTAATTAGAAATTTACTAAAATATTCTTGTTTTTCCCCCAAATTAATCTCACAATAACTTGTCTACTCCCCAGAACATATATTATTTATATTGAAATCACATTAACTTTATAAGTTAACTTAGTTTAAGTGATATGACTCTGCTATTTAGTCCAAGAACAGTGTGTCTTTCCATTTACATAGGTTTTTCTTTTGTGTCTAATTTTTTAGTATTTTTTTTTTTTGGCAAAATGCAAGTTAAACTTTTTAGCACCTCTGGACATCATATGATCTTCTTATATCAATTAATATATTAAATTATATTAATTAATTCTCTTATTGAAAAACACTTGTATTCATGTAATTATCTCTACTCATTCTTAACATATGATTAATTTAATGTATTGTTGTACATAGTTGAATAACATTTAGATATTTATAAATTGATCTGTAGGGCTATTTTTTGTCAGATTTTAGTACCAATGTTGTATTCATTTCATAAAAAAATTAGACTGTTTCTCTTATTTTCTTGTATAGATAATTCACTTAAAGCAAGGTTTCTCAATAACGGCATTATTGGCATTTTGAGCTGGATAATTCCTTGTTGTGAGAAGTGTCCTGTACATTATAGGACATTCAGCAGACTCCCTGTCTCCTATCTATTAGATGCAGTAGCACAGCCCAGTTTTTATGCCCAAAAGTGTTTCCAGAAACTGCCACATATGCCCCACAAGGCAAAATCTCCCTGAGAACCACTGATCTAAAGCTGAAGCAAAGTACAATAAAAATTGATAAATTTTTATCAGTTGGAACTTGCCGAGAGGATTAAAGATGGTGACGTGAGAGGTGAGAAAGAGGCCTCCTACTAACTGCATATAATATAAAAATATAATACAACTAATCCTGAAAGAGCAACAGGACAGAAGGTTGCACCAGACTGCATACACCTGGAGAAAAGAGCAGACCTTGTGGAACAGGGTAATGTACCAAAACCGTGACACAGTGGGACCCAAACCCTTCCCCAACCCAGCTCACTGGCGAGAGGAAGAGAAATACAGCAGGGAGGGAGTGGAGGCCTGGGACTGCTGAACACCAAGCCCTGGAGATCTGCTCTAGGAGCACAAACCTACATTGCATGGTGCTCTGGTGATTAGAGGGGTTGGAAGCTAAGACAGGCAGAATGCCTGGAGAGACTGAGATTCCAGCTGCTTGTGGAAAACAGGGATCCATATCTGGCTGCTCTGAGCATCAGTCTGAGAGACTTCCTAACAGCAAGAGGGCTGCTAAAGGGGCAAGGACTGCACAGAGCTTACTACTCAGGAGAAAGGACAGGAAGACAAAATTGTCTGGGTGCACTCTGCCCAGCAGGTTGGGAACTTTCAGGATCTTCAGGTGCCCCAGCCCCCTGGCTGGCTATGCAGCTACAAGGCCCCTCACAGTGATACGCAGCCTGCTGTGTGCCTTCTTCCCAGCCAGCCTGTACCTGTCTCACAAACCGGCAAACCCTGCCCTGGCGTCAGTCCAGCCAGAGGGAAGCCCTGCCTACAGTAGCTACAAACACAAAGCATAGAGGCTTATACCTGTGTGCTCACCCCATTGGTTCTGGCAGTGGAGACAGGCATAGCAGCCAGGAAGGTCCTTTGTCGAGAAAGGAGGGGGTAGGCACCAACACTGCTCCCCTGAAAACCCCAATATTGCTCCAGGGACTGAGCAGCTACAGAGAGTATAGCTTCTGGACACCAGACGGTGCCACATACAAATATGAAACATCAAAGGAACCTGGTTCAAAGAAAAATCATACATACACCAGACAAAGAGTCAAATGAAACCAATCTCATGAATCTTCCTGAAAGAGATTTCAAAATAAAAATCATGAACATGCTCATGGAGGTACAGAAAATTATTCAAGAACTCAGGAATGAATTCCAGTCAGAGATCCAATCATTCCAGAACACAGTATCAGAAATGACACATACAATGGAAGGTTTTAAAAGCAGATTAGACACAGTGGAGGAAATGATAAATGAAATAGAAATTATAGAAGGGGAATACAAAGAAGCTGAGGCACAGAGAGAGTAAAGGATCTCTAGGAATGAAAGAATATTGAGAAAACTGTGTGACAAATCCAAATGGAACAATATTTGTATTATAGGGGTACCAGAAGAAGAAGAGAGAGAAAAAGGGATAGAAAGTGTGTTTGAGGAGGTAATTGCTGAAAACTTCCCCAAGGAGATAGTATCTCAGGCCATGGAGGTGCACAGATCTCCCAACACAAGGGACCCAAGGAGGACAACACCAAGACATATAACAATTAAAATGGTGAAGATCAAGGATAAGGACAGACTATTAAAAGCAGCCAGAGAGAGAAATAAGATCACATACAAAGGAAAGCGATCATGCTAACATCAGACTTCTCAGCAGAAACCTTACAGGCCAGAAGGGAGTGGCATGATGTATTTAATGCAATGAAGCAGAAGGGCCTCAAACCAAGATGACTTTATCCGGCAAGATTATTATTTAAATTTGAAGGAGGGATTAAACAATTTCCAGATAAGCAAAAGCTGAGAGAATTTACTGCCCACAAACTGTCTCTACAGTATATTTTGGAGGGACTGCTATGGGAGGAAGGGTTCCTAATGTTTAATAAAACCACAGTAAAGAGAGTAGAACAGTGAATTACTAAGCAAATGCAAAATTAAACCAACTACCCCCAAAGTCAATCAAGGGATAGACAAAGAGTACAGAATATGGTACCTAATATATAAAGAATGGAGGAGGAAGAAAAAGTAGAAAAAAGAACCTTTAGATTGTGTTTGTAACAGCATACTAAGTGAGTTAAGTTAGACTCTTAGATAGTAAGGATGTTAACCTTGAACCTTTGGTAACCACGAATCTAAAGCCTGCAATGGTAATAAGTGCATACTTATCGATAATCAACCTAAATGTAAATGGACTGACTGCACAAATCAAAAGACATAGAGTCACTGAAAGGATAAAAAAAACAAGACCCATCTATATGGTGCCTACAAAAGACTCATAGGTATCACTAACACACTAACATGACCTAAACACATAAATATTCAACTAAAGACACCATATTATAGCAGTGCATAGAAAAAAACTCAAACTGAATCAATCCATTGATACCAACTAATTGTGTAATACTATAAATGACACATGAATCCAACATGCACATCACAATAATGATACTTTTTTACACAATGCATTGGTTGAAGAAACGTAGTCCAACTAAAAAAGGTAAGTTGTATTTAACAGAAAATATTTTATACTGGTTCAATCTTAACACCTGAATTTCTTAAAATTAAAAATTCAGATTCTTCATTGTGCTAGCCACATTTTGAGTGTTTGGGAATCACATGTGGCTGGTTGTTACCGAATTGGACAAGTCAGCTCTAGCAGATCTAATTAAAATCTCAAAAGATGCTAATAAATTTGGAAGTGTTTAGTTCAGCTGTAGTAATTCCTAGGAAATTTTAGATGTTTTTCCTTTTATCAGAGAATCTATGTTTTGAAAGAAAAGAAAAAGTACTTCCCAGCTCGGACACCTGGCACTAGTAAAAGTCCCCAAAAAGGACAGTCCAATATAAAGATAGTGGCGAAGATGCACTAAAATGATGCATCAGTGTGACCATAAAAAGAAGCATAAATATAAATTTTGTTTAATACTCAGTATTAAGATTGTCATTCATTTGATAATTAAAACCCAACATTTAAAAAACATTCTCAGAGAAAATTCATGGACCTCCAAAAATACACATGAACGAGACTTAGAAGTTATATGGTTGCGAGAGAAGTCATTTCAGATATCCCAAAATGGGAACATAACATCATTCGATAATAATGCAATTCTCAGTTCCGGGATGCAGTTTGCTGTAGAGAAAAGAGCTTTGAAGATAGGCACACCGAGATTCACTTCCCAATTCCAGGGTTTCCAAGAGGGTGACTTTGGGCAGTCTCTTAGCCAGTCTGGGTTTTAGATTCCCTATCTGCAAAAAAAAGGCATAATAGTATCTACCTCATAGTGTCATTGGGAAGATTAATTTAGATGACTTGGCTAAAAGCCCCAGTTTAGTTCCTGGCGTGAACTGAGCACATACCAGTTGCCATCATCCTTCCCAGGGTCCTTTCAGAGAAAATCTATTGGAATTCCTTCTAGCTACCCAGCTCAGCTTTTATTCATGGTTCTGTTCTCAAGCAACTTGTTCAATAAGCTCCGCACTCCTAACTCTTTTTCATTTCATGTTGTATTCACAGCTAAATAACTCATGTCAGCCTACATTAACTTATGTGTAACAATGTTGTACAAAATGTCCAGCATACTTGTCTGAGGGATGAGATTCCACGAAATAGCCAGCGAAAGGGCAATAAATCCGAGGTCGTAGGTCCTTCACGAGTCGGGCCTTGTAATTCAGGAGCTTCCTCCTTTCTGTTTTGATGAACTGGGCTTTCCATTCCTCTGGAATGACAGGGTTTGCATTAGAGTCTCCTGTTTAGAAATCACGGGAAAACAAATGATCTAGTAAACTGGATCTCTTTCAGGAGACAAAATTGAAACAGACTAAGGCAGAAATAGAGCAAAGCTCTGTGTCATTAGTGAACACCTCCCCACTCTTGCTTTAGTTTGCAAATTTCATTTGGTTACTAAGAAAAAGGTACCAAATGCCAAAGACACTGAGCCTTTTCTTTGTTTATGGCGATTCATTTGGACCCCAGATAATACAAAGGGCAACATGAAGAGTTGTACCCTGCATGCAGGCACATTTTAATGGTGCTTTATTTCTGGTAATCACTAACTCTTCACTAACATGGAAATGCCTTTATTATTTTGATGGATTATTAAAGCAAAGCATGTTCACCATACCCTGCACTGTCCAGAGGTTGAGAGCATGGGTGCTGGAGTCAGTCCTCCACCACTTAAATCTTTAAGTCTGTTTCCTCCTCTGTAAAGTGGAACCATGATGCCTACTTCACAGATCGCCCATTTGCTCATTCATTCCTTCAGTCAATATTTATGGAGCACCTACTGTGTGCCAGACACAGTTCTAGGCACTGAGAATACAGTGGTGAGTGGCATAAAGCAGGTCCCTGCTCTTGTGGAGCATTCATTCTAGTGATAGAAGCAAATAAAAGTAAATAAATAAGGTCATTCAAAGAATGATGAGCTCAGAAGAAAGTGTAGCAGGGCAATGGGGATGAGTGGCAGGTGGGGTGCGGTGGGGTAGAAGGGCATTATGAGACACGGTGGTTAGTGAAGATGACATTTGAGTCAGAACATAGACAGAAGAAGAGAAGCTGCTGACCATGTGGAGATTGGGGCAACAGCATTTCAGGCAGTGGAAACAGCAAATACAAAGGCCCAGGGCAGGAGTGCGGTCCACTTGGCAAATTGAGTCTGAGGAACAAAACGCAGGCCACAGAGGCTAATACAGACCAAGCACCAGGGAGACAGGCAGACAGGAAACCGAGATTCCAGGCAGGCCCCAGAGCGTGTAGGGCACCGTGTCAGGGGATTGTTCATATTGCTATTGCTACGAACATTTGGTAAACATAAACAAGGACCCAGGAAAACAAGTTACCTATAACCTAGACATAACCACTATCAACAGTTTGATATGTTTTTGACCCTTTTTAAATATATGTGCATGCATACATTCAGTCACACATACACACACTCACATGAGAATGGGATTATTCTAGCTGACCTTTAATAGGTATATTTTGTCTCCCCAGTTAACTCCTTGAGGACAGCACCTCCCCTCTATCTCTCACACGGTTCTGTACTCTGGGAGGCAATAAATACCGAAGAAAGGAAGGAACTGGACAGACGCTTTCTTCATGCTACAAATAGGGCATTTTCTGCTGCACTGTTGGACAGAGATCATTTACCAAACTTGTTTATTAAGAAGATGTACACTGAGCATCCACAGCGCTCATACTGAGGATACCAAGATTAGCAAAATATACTGCTTACACGCTTTGTCCCGTCCCAACCCCAGCACCACCCTTAGACCCAGAGCGGAAGAACTCCTGCCTCTGACTCCACATTTTTCTAGCTTTGGGATGTCATTGATACAGCATTGCATAAGTTTAAGTTATACAACGTGATGGTTTGATACATGTAGATATTGCAAAACGATTACCACAACAAGGTTAGTTAACACCTCTATCATCTCACATAATTACCATTTTTGTGTGTGTGGTGAAAACACTCAAGATCTATTCTCTCGGTAATTTTCAAGTATGTGATACTGTACTGTAACTCTAACCATAAAGCTACACATTACATCCTCAGAACTTATTCACCTTATAACAAGAAGGTTGTGTTCTTTGACCAACATCTCCCCATTCCCCAAACTCTACAGCCCCCAGTAACCCCACACTCCGAGGGGCTCCCTCTAGCACCCCTGTATAAGCATTCCACAGGGACTAGGGCATGTGCCCATGTCAAGTGGCACACACCCTATTCTGAACCACATCCCAAGAGCATGTAAGCCTGCATTACCTGTGTCAGACCTTTCTGGTCCTGCGCTATGGTCTTACATCATGAATCCAAATGACCCAAATGATTCTTTTTCTGGACTATTTCTGAGGTGATCCTAATCTCCTTAGTGTTTCTTTCATGCTCCACCGTCATATTTTGAGCTGAAAACTCCAGTTTGTAAGCCTGTGGTTTGCAAGACTTATATCCCAGTAAGACTGTAAGCTTCTTTTGGGGAGGGACTGTGCCTTAATTATCTGTGTATTTATTCTCACAGAATTTAACGAAGTGCCATGCCTACTCCTTGGCAGCATTCCCATATAAAATGTTACCAGTGAACTTTCCACCACTGAAAGTCATTGGAAAGCCTGACGCTCCTCCAGCGAAATCGCTCATCATTAGAGCAACCTCCACAGGCAGCCGTCCCCCATTGGGTCTGGTGCAGTCCACTGTGTTGAGTATTTTATGACCTGTGAAAAAATGAAGTGGCAAGAACCTTCAAAGTGAAATCCTGAGCACCACAGTTCGAATTCCCAGGCCAACAGAGTCTTACATGCAAGTCTCTATAATCTGACTCAGTTGACTAAGGAAAAATTGTTTGTGTTCAAGGAAAAAGAAGAGGAAGATTCCAAAACCTACAATCTTCAAAGCATATTTTGAATTTCCAAGTGGATAAATTCACCCTGCTCGATTTGGTGAGTTCTGAATGTCCCAGGAGAACAATTGGCTTGACTCCACTCCAGGGGCATAGAGAAGCCACTTTCCTCAGACAACTACCTCCAGCTGTTGAACTGAAAGGGCCCAGAGGAAAGAGTGACTGGATCAACACAAACCTCTCAAGCTTTTGCTCATTCAGTTCAATGATTGATGGGGCAATGAATCCCTCTTCTCACATGAAGAGCAGAAGTGTGTGATTATGCTACATGATAATATTATACTATATAATATTTCATTCAATAAAAACAGTTTTGGAGAAATTAACTGCAGGTGAAATAGAGGCTATTGTTGCCATATGAAGAAAAGCTTCACACCTGTCACTATATAGACTACATCACTGTTAGCTTGTGCTCTAGAAAGATTGCTGAATGATGACCCATTTTTCTAAGACAAGAATTCAATGGAACTTGGAGATGGAAGAAGATCAATGTAGGGCAAAATTTCAGTCAGCTATTATGAACCTTCCAACCAAGGGTATTATTTATGTTTCGTTATTGATGAGGATAAGAAAGTACCTTTGTATTCCACAATAATGCAAGTGTCCATCTCAGGATGAACGCCATCCATCAAGATCATGAATCGAAGATTTTTGTCTACCTGAAATTTAATAATAAAACCAACTGTGTAAGTCAATTTGGCCTTTAATTTAATACTTGAGAAAGCTGGCAATTCTTTTGGAAAGAAATCCCCTTTGTTTGGAAGTGGATGTATTATCCTGTACTATAGAGAGTTGTAACATTGGTAAATGGAAAGAAAAACATCTTTTATTTCAGTTTAAGTAAAGGTTGTTTTTACACAGTACTATGTACAAAGTAGGCCATTGTTCCTTTAATCTTAAAGTGACTATCTTACCTAAAATTCACCCCAGAAAGCACAACTGAAAAGGGTGGAAAGAACACAGATATCTGACCTGCTGCCATACTCCAAACGGCACTATGTTGATATTAGTCAACTGGACACCACTCTGGTTGAGATTCCAAAACACAGGTCTTTCTGTGTTTCCAACATAAATGGGAATATCTGGTCTTCTTCCAGCAAGCTTCTTCAACGTGGGGTAACTGCAATCAGAAAAATGGAAAAGGTGAAAGGTGAAAAACTAGGATCACCTGGTGTGAGAGAGCTTACACGCACACGTAGGACACGAAGCGAGGAACTGGAAAACCAGACTCTCATCAGAGTCCAAAGCAAAGGTTTTTTTTCTTGTAGGTGAAGAGCTCCCTGACCTTCATTTTTTCTCATTCTTTACATAGTATCTACCAGTAAGAGAAAGGCCTGGGCCATAGGACAAGGAGAACCTGTGGGTGACCTACCATTGAGGGCAGTTTTTCAACCTTTAAGGGTTGATAGCCACACTTCGGTATACAGGATGAATTCTTTTTCCTTAAGGAAAGTCAGTTACTAACAAGACAAGACAATAAAATTTAACTGTAAACATCTGTAGTAATCCTCAGTACACAATTAACCATCCACATATTTTTGAAGACGGACATAGGTTGAATCATCTTTCATTTAGTGAGCATTCATTAGATGACACTGTGGAGAGTGGCGAAAAATGAATAATATGGCTAGGTACTCATTCTATTTCAAACACAGTGCTAACCACTTCCATATGTTACTTTACTTGATTCTTACAAAGAAGAAAAAAACCTCTGAATTTTTTGTTCTAATAAATAGGGTAACATATTTGGAAATATACAATGAACAAAGAGTACATTGGTGTCCAAATTCAGGTTTTCAGATGTTAAATCCAGTGCTTCCTCTATTAGAAGGCAGTTGCCTACGTTAATGAACGCAGTATCTAGTTAAGAATCAGATTTATACATAGAGTATAAAGTCAGGTGAAATAAGTCATTAAATCGTAAGAAAAGTATAAACAAACTCTGCACATCACACGTATTAATCGGACTGATACTCAAGTTCTTGTATTGTGTTGAAAGCTACCCAAATACGTAGACTCCAGGGGCAGAGATTTCAGCAGGCTTTCTTCTCTAAAATCAAAAGATTCAAAAAGTCAAGGATTCCTTTAACATGTCTTCAGTCTCTGGGTTCAGCTCCTAAACCTTTTATTTTAAAGGTTTTCAGGAGTTAGGATAAATTACTCTAAAGTGAATGTTTATTGTGCTGTTATTTTTTTAATTGTTCACAATTCTTATTGGTTTCTAGTAATAACATCATCTATTACAATATTCACTTAAGTTACATAATAAAATCACATTTCTTTGACTAAACTGCTCTCTAAAGTATACTGGTGCCCCTCTCTGTTTTTGTGAGTCAAGGCAGTTTTATTCAGTAAATAAAGGTCAGGCAAGAGGAATGGGGGCAGTGACCCCATGTTTATAAGTTGACTTGGTAGGAGTCAAAAAGGCCTATCACGAAGAGATGCAGAAGAGTGAAAATTATGAGGTTCAGTAACTTTTCAGTAATAAACCATTCTTAACACACTGCACAACCAAAATGTTATAGTACTATATTGAGAACTGGTGTTTTAATGCCCAACAGCTTTGTCCATACACGGCCCTGAAATTAAAACTAAATTGGTTTTCAAGAAAATGTTGGAATACAACTGGACTAAACGACATGAAAAATTCTTACCCTCCATAAAATACAATATATGCCCATAAAAAGTCTTTCTTTAGGACTTTAGGCAAATGCATCTTGTAATAGGCACTGTAAAGCAATCAGCCTTTTTATGTGATATTGGTCTCTCTATACAAGCTATATAAAATTACCACGCATTACTGTTATTACACAATGTATGAACCCAGGGCTCTCATAAACCTGAAGTTGTGTGTTCTGAGTTTAGTTCCAGGAGGTTATGTGGGACAAGGTTATCATGCAGTAAACAAGTAGATTTTTAATTATAGTACCAACCCCAGTGGGTGTGGTCAATTTATAAGTGTGTTGCAGGTGATTTGTTACTAAACCAGTTAATTACTTAAGTTTTAAATAATTTCCTTTGAAAAAATAAACAAGAACATGTTTATGCCATAGAGATTCCACATGCTTGAAGTAGAAGATGAAGGGGACAGTCACCCAACAAACAACACATTATCCCTAACCACTGACATTTCTATCGAAGTATGTAGTACATGTGCACTTCATCATATAGGATGACAGAAAAGAAGGTTAAAATTGCTTCATTTTATAGCACTGTGGGCCTTGTTACATGTTCATATCAGCAACCCAGAAGTAGTGATAAAAATTTGTGAACAAGGATGAACAAACATGACTGTAATTAAACCAAGGGATTGGGACTATGACCCTACCTCTCTGCAAGTAGTTCATCTACGAATGTATGTAGTTCTGTGAATCAGAGTTCTCTCTCTTGCCTTTTCCATGGCCTCGGTCGGGGAAGTCTCATTCTGATTATCAGTGTCATGTTGCTCTGCTTTCAGTGAAGTGTTGGATAAGGTTGACTTAGGAATGAAAAGTTAGAAGCTCAGCATTGTTGGGATGCTGAAAATCAGGAGTTGGAAAACCACGGCAACCCGCTGCTAAAAAAGCTAAGAATGGTTTTTGACCTTTTTTGAATGGTTGAAGAGAAAATCAAAAAGAATGTTTTGGGACATGAGAATTGAATGATACTCAAATCTTATTGTCCATGAATAAGGTTTTTGTTGGAATATGTGCTCATTCAGGATTGTCTATGGCTGCCTTTGGCTATAACACCAGAATTGAGTAGTTGTGACACTTACCATATGGCTTGTAAAGTCTGAAATATTTACACTCCGGCTCTTTATAGAAAATGTGTGTTCTTGCTATAAATGTTGAATTGAAAGAGGAAGTCAATTCTAATTATCTTTAAACCTAGCCTTTTACCAAGCGGCCTGAGAGTGGGAAGCGAGAGAGTAGGGAGGGTTACTAACTCCCACCCTCTTCTCACAACAGCTCCTTCCTTGCTGTGTATGGTATAAAGGGTGGAAGTGCTTTTAAAATTATGCTATGCAAATGTAAGCATTTTCTACGTTAGTCTTCTAAAGATCTGAATTAGTCCTCTTTTCATCATCATAACCAAACCTCCCTCAAAGTGAGCAGTGATTGCAAAAAAAACCTGAAAACACATTATGCCTTTACTGGCACATTTTCTCATCAATTGAGTGCTGAGAACTCCATTACCTCAGGTGGTCTGAGTGCATGTGGCTGATGTAAATTAGGTCTGCTCGGCACAACCTCTCCAGCCAATCAGACGGAGGCTCATGTAACAACCACCATCCTCGGGCAAAAGCGGGACCGATTAACCAAGGGTCGAACACCACCCTCTTGTCTCCCAGCCTGAGGTCCATGCAGGCATGAGCGAGGAAGGTCACCTGTCAGAAGAGGGAGAGTGAAGTTCAGATCATCAGATCGTCACGGGCCACCGGCAGCGAGCCGGAAGCTTTGGGCCGCTCAGCTGGGCGGCCATGTCGGAGCGCTTCGCGCCAAGCATGCGCAGGCGGTTAGGACTCTGGGGACACGTGGCAAAGCCTTCCTTGGCACACGGCGTCCAGCACAGGTGACCGCTTTGTTAGAATGGAAATTGTCACGGATGGTTTTCGTGTCGAACTGATTGATTTACCTAGTTTTATTCTATTTAAATGAGTTCCTAAATACTTATTTACGCTCTACACTGCAGAATATATTGTGTGACCAATTCTTCAAAGCACAGTTTACAAGGAAAAGCAGTGAGAGATGTTTTGTCAGACACTGAGGTGTAAGTGCCAGAGTAGCTGTGAATCGGTGTATGAATGAACGATTTCCAGGGAGTGTGGGCGGGTCGGCAGAGCCACGTGGCCTGGCTGGACAGGCTCGCAAGGCTCTCCCCTAAATCACCTGTGAACACAAGATGGCGAAGTCCTCTGAGAACGGCCGTAAACAGTGACCTCAAGGCGGGCGCAGACTGGGGGATCCCACCTTAGCTCCCCCTTCTCTCCTCACGGTCTGGTGCGCCAGAGGCAGCAGCACCACAAGCGACCAACAGAGATTCTAGCGTGAAAAGCCAGCAATGAGGTTTGGTGGCATCAAGGAATAAAACCCAGGTTTATTATGCCTAAATGAGTGGGTTCTCATTTGTTTCCTCAAAAAACAACGCGTTGTCACAAGCCTCCTGAATATTACAGAAAAATAGATTTTTTACTGTTGATCTCTCCCAAACTGCCAAAGTGTTTCTCTGGAGGAAACTCTTTTCTAAAGCTAGGAAAATGCATAGGAAGGTTTGTAGAAGATCCTGGGGCAATTTGTAAAAATATACATGGCCATCTTATTTGAGAGTGGGCTGGTATCCAGGGTAATTTCTGAACTTCCTCCAATAGTTTTGCATGACTCTCCTTTGGGACATCCTCTACAAGTTTTGTTTGTGTGGGGTTTGATCTTGTTTGGGTTTTTTTCTGGATATATTTCCTTACAATCCTTGCAAAAGTTCTGAGGTTCCTAAAATATATTCCTCACGAGTTCAGAATATCTTTACTATATGTCCTAACTAGCCCCCTCAAAGAGTATTCAGAGTAATATGGGATATATATATCCTATATGTAAATGGACATCTTAGTTTTATTTTTTAAATGATATTATGATTTTAATGTTTCTTTACCTGCACTTCCCCAAAAGCCAAATCTTCAGGAGATCTGGGCTCTGAATCCCAGGGGTTAGGAGGATTCAGTTCTAGAAGTGAAAGTCCACTTTCTTCATCCATTTCAACAACTAGAACCAAAGGGGAACACATCTAGATTAACAATAAAAATGACTTAAAAAGCATCACTGAAATAACAGTGCACAGCCCAGGTACCAAAACTGAAAAGAAAATAAAAACAAAAGGCAGTATGCATTCATGTCAAGCCATATTTGCTGAGACAAGGGCTTAAGACCAGCCCCAGTTCATTTCTTTATTCATGTTACATTGACGGAACTCATGAGCTCTCACTTGTGCCAGGGATACAGACACACAAAAAGAACTTCATTACGATTAAATGAATGATGCTAAAGATGAGTGCAAGGTGTTACGGGAGGGTACAGGAAGGGGAACCTCATCTGGCTGTAAGAGTCAAAGCAGATTTCAAAACGGAAGTAATCCTCCAGCTAGACTTGGAAGATGAGGTTATTTGGGGCAGACAAAGGAATTACAATGATATGAAGCAGAAGGGATGAAAGAACAGCATGTGCAAAGACCTGGAGGCATGAAAGAGCCTGCTCTTCATAGAGCGGCTGGTAATTTATGATTAAGGAAAATGGTGGTTGAGCCAGGCAGAATAGATGGGCGGGCCAGAGTAGGTCACAAAGAGACCATGCTGAGTAGTCTGGACTTTATCCTGTGGCAATGAGGGGTTGTGTTTGTTCATATACAGCAGTAAAACAACTCCTTTTGGGTTCCTGAACCCGATTACAGTTCATGTGTGTTGGGAGGGGGTCTTCCCATGGACAACACCAAGCAATTCTCGAGCACCTGCAGGGTTCAGAGAACTCAACTCAATTCTGATGCTATCTGCCTGAAGATATCACCAGATGCCCAGGTGAAGGGCTCCGTCTTACAAGCCTGCCCTCCACCCCCCACTCCAGGTGCTGGTCACAAGCCCTAGGCTGTTCCCTGTGCTTCTGACCTACTGGCTACAGACTGGAGGTTCTAACAACCTCCCCTTCAGGTTTGATTCATTTGCTAAGAGCAGCTCACAGAACTCAGGAAAACACTTTTGTTTACCAGTTTAATAAAGGATATCATAAAATTTAGCGGCCAGATGAAGAGATTCGTAAGGCAATGTCTCAAATAAAGGAGCTTCTATCCTTATAGAAGGAGCCGGGGGCCTGGCTCAGTGGTACATGGGAGCTTCTTGTTCCCCAAGCACAGAAGCTGTCTCCGACAGAGAAGCAGGTGCAGGAGAGCTGTGAGGCCTTCACTGCACAGTCGCGATTGAGTAGTAACTCACTGGCCGTTGGCTGATCCAACCTCCAGCCCCTGCCCTTGGGTGGGGGTAGAAAAATCTCTTATTAATACAAGACACCCATTTCACCTTTAAGGCTCTGAAGTATTTCAGGAATTGTGGATGAAGACCAAATATGCCTGGGAACTATATATTAGTCATCTGAATGACCAAATATGTATTTCTTATGACTCATTATATTGAAGGACTGAATGAAGAAATTTAAGCAATTATGGCAGACACCGCTGGTAGCCTGCACAAAATTTATTCTCTCCTTCTTCCTTACCATTAGCATCCCAATGTTTTTAGGTCGTGGTGCTATGCCCACGCATGCTTTCCCAGGCCCCCTTGCATTGTGAATGACTGTAGACAGAGCTCTGCATACAGTGTATATCCAGCTCTGGCCAGTGAGATGTGAGCGGGAGTCTCCTGATGAGGTTTCCAGAAACCCTTTTATTTTCTTGACAAAGAAGAACCAACTCAAAGGACCTCCACTGTTTGCCCTTCATCTTTCCCCCTTCTTGTTTGTGATTTGATCGCCTTGTGCGGAGGAGCAGGGGTCATCTTGAAGACCTGAAGAAAACAGCCAGATGCTAAGGATGCCAGAGCAGTAAGACAGAAGGCACTTGGCGCCTTGGTAAACGCGGAACGGCCACAATGCCCAGGACTGCCTGTTTTCCAACTTCTTGATGTAAGAAAAACAGCCCTTATAGGATCAGGCCACCTTACTCGAGTTTTCTGTTACCACAGCTGAAAACAATACCTAACTGCTGTAGCAAGGGAGTAATAAAATCAGAATTTAATTGAGGAAGACCACTGTGAGACACATGGGGAGGAGCCATCGGTGGGAGGCAGGACCATCTTTGAAAGCTCTCATCATCGTTTTGGGAGGTCTTTGTGAACCACTGAGGGCACGGGTTCAGGAGACTGATGGCCTTGTCTGGAACCCTCACTCTCCCACTTAATAGCTGGGTGACCTTGGGCACGTTAATGTGATTTCTCCATTCGTCATCTTTAACCCTAGCTACTTCCAAGGGCCTTAATCCTAACAAATGTCAGCAAGTTTATTAATTGCTAAAGGAAAGCAAACAAGGTTCTAGACTAAAGTAGCCCCTATGGAAATGGCATCATGGCCCTGCCCTCAAGACCAAGCATTTTCATACTTTTTTAAAGTACATAAAAAAAAATATTTAAAAACTTTTACCTGCATTTTCCAAATGAATGTTAATTATACTCACTTTAAGATAACTACTCATGGAAGAAACTGAGTCAAAGATTACCAATAAAATGAAAAATGCTACATTAAAAAAATTTCCCCAGTAATTGTAAACAGACATGTATACTGTGTCAAACCTCAATTTTCAAGGTCATCTTGAGGGACCATAATAAAGAAAAAGTTGAAAACTTAAGGAATTACCTCCCCGAAAGCCTGTTTTTCTCTCACTCCTCTAGCTTCACTCTCATGTCTATACACTTATATTCTTCCTCTCTGCCCCTGACAAATTTGATGATTCATTTAAATGGTTCCCCCCGGAAAGTCTTCCCAGTATCAGCATCACCCACTCCCTAGGTTCACTGGGGACTCAGATGTCACCTTATCAGAGAGGGCTTTCTGGCATTATCTCGTACCTCAAATAGCACCCTCCTGCCCTCTATCCCCCACTATTTTTCTTCCTAGCCCTTATCATCGCCAAACATACTACATATCGTTTACTATGGTCTGACTCCCCTACAAGAATATAAGCTCCGTGGCATTGTGGTTTGTCTGCCAATATATCAATAGAGTTTCAAGAACAATGCCTGACTCATGATAGGCATTTGCTAAATATGTTGAGTTAATTGATTAATTGATGGTCTTAATTCCATGTCTCCCAAGACTCTCAGGGCTGCACAGCCCCATCTCTCAAGCTAGTCACTGCTCCTGCCTAGACTCAGAACCTCAAGTTGGAAAATGTAAATACAGAATTATCTCATTATAAATTAAAAATAAAATTTATTACTTCTTCATTTTTAAAAGAGCACTTTAAGAACTAGAAACATGATTGCACCAGATAGCTTCCATTGGTCCCTACAGAACGCCTCTTCTCTACTTTTCTCCACCCTTGTGCACCCCTTTCTGCTTTAGGAGGTCGACTTTATCAGGACCATGTCAAACGGCTCCCACACCCTCGGCCCTCTAGGTGTGTTTGGCCCCTGGGGAGCCCCAGGGTGAGGTGGCGAGGGCGCTCCGTGAGGCTGGGCTGTTTATTCATCGGGCTTTTCCCGTGTAGGGCTGCTGTGCCCTAGCTGTGCTGCGGGCTCTGCCAGGGTCACTGCCCCACTCAGGGAGGCCGATTCTTTGACTCTCTTCTTCGAGATTCTGGAACCTGCTCCCCTCCCCATCCCCTTAGGCCAAGAGATGGGTGACTTGATCACCATTGACTCTTGGTTACTCCACCTTTCCTGCGATTCTTCCACATCCACACCTTATAAAAATACCTTTATGAATACATCCTCCTCATATCATCCTAATTTGGGGGTTCCATCTATTTTCCTTTTGTGAATCTAACTAATACAATAATTAAGAAGAGCTATACTGAAACCCCAAATTTAGAAGAGTGATTGACTCTAGGGTATGTGTGCGTTCGTAATACGATTGAGGAAAGCTGTATGAAGACCTTCGGTTAATGTTTCATGTCTTAAGCTGGATACTGGGTACATAGGTATTCATTGCATTATTTTTATAGCTTTTAAATATTAATAAAATCATATTAATTAATATTTTTCTTAGTAAGTTATCAATTTATGGGATAGCAAAATTGGCTTTCTTCCTAAAACCAGGAACGTAAAAAGGATGCTTGATATCACTGTTACTGTTAAACTATGTTTTTGCAAATGCAAGTGGTACAGTAAGATACATCTTACTATTATTTCCAGGTCGTGTGATCGCTGGAAAACAGTATCATGAAACAGAAAGGATGTTGGCTTTGGAAACATCTGAGTTGGAATGATCTCCGGTACCATATGTCAGGCCATAAAGCAAGTGTCAATACATTTAAAAGTATCAAAGTCATACAAAGTATGTTTATGATCACAATTAAATTAAACTAGATATCAATAAAGGAGAAAAGTTGGAAATTCACAAATATGTAGAAATCAAACCACATACTTCTAAATACAAATGGTTTAAGAAAGAAATCATGTGGGAAATAAGAAAATACTTTGAGACAAATAAAGACAAAAACACAACACCCCAAAACTTATGCAGCCAAAATAGTACATAAAAGAAAATTTATACCTGTACATGCCTAGAATAAAAAAGATCTCAAAAAAACCCCCTGACCTTCCACTTTAACTAGAAAAAGAAGAGCAAACTAAATCCAAAGTAAGCAGAATGAAGGAAATAATAAAAAAAATGAGAGCCAAAATAAATGAAATTGAGAATAGAAAAAAAGAGAAAAATGAATGAAAACAAAAGCTGGTTCCTTAAAAAGATTAAAAAATGTTACAGACCTTTAGCTAGACTGATCAAGAAAAAAGAGAGAAGACTCAAATTACTAAAATCAGGAATGAAAAAGGGGACATTACAACTGATCTTACAGAAATAGAAAAGAATATAAGACAATACTATGAGTAATGTATATCAATAAATATTAACAAAACTGACTCAAGAAGAAACAGAATTTCTGCACAGACCCATATCAATAAAGAGATTAAATTAGTAACCAAAAACTTCCTGCAAAGAATAGTCTGAGGTCAAACAGCTTCACTGGTGAGTCTGGCCAAATGTTTGAAGAAGAACCAATACCA